AAAAAAAAAAAAAAAAAAAAAAGATTTTTAGGAAAGGAATGAAATACTCTGACTTAAATTTTAGAAGGATCACCGGGGAGAGTAATTGGGATACTGTTGCAGTCGTCTAGGAGAAAAGTGATAGAGGCTTGGGCCAGGGTAGTATCATGACAAACGGTAACAAGTGGTTGGATTATGATTATACTTGGAAGGTTGAACAACTGAACTTACTGATAGATTGGAAAAATGGTCCTCTGTTTAAGGACCTCATAATACAGTGGGAGAAACAGACACATAAATAGTCATCACTGCAGGATGGGGATTACAAATATTTTGTAAGGGTGAGAAAATAGGTGCTAAGAAAGCTTCCTCTTGTGACAAAGCTGGTTAAAGAAAGAAAAGAAAGCTTCCTAGAAGTGAAACCTAAAAGTATACACTTAAAAAAAATAAATAAATAAAAGTTATGAAAGAATTTGAGGGCTGGGCTCAGTGTCTCATGCCTGTAATCCTAGCACTTTGGGAGGTTGAGTCAGGTGTATTGCTTGAGACCAGGAGTTTGAAACCAGCCTGGAAAACATAGTGAGACCCCATCTCTTAAAAAAAAAAAATTAGCCAGTAGTGGGGATGTGCACCTGTAGTCCCAGCTACTTACTTACGAGGTTGAGGCAGGAAGATCACTTGTGCTCAGGAGGTCGAGGCTGCAGTGAGCCATGAGTGCACCACTGCACTGTAGTCTGGGTGACAGAATAAGACCCTGTCTGAAAGAAAACGAATGTGAGAAAAGATATCTTTTATGTGATGGCATGAACATAGACTCAAAGGCAAGAAAAACATGTGGTTAGTAGGGGAGGGTGCAGGTAGAGACATGAAGTTGGGATTGCTGAGGCATAAGAGATATAGGCAGATCCTGTTGGGTGTGGTGGCTCATGCCTGTAATCCCAGCACTTTGGGAGGCTGAGGCAGGTGGATCACAAGGTCAGGAGTTCAAGACCAGCCTGGCCAAGATGGTGAAACCCTGTCTCTACTAAAAATACAAAAATCAGGTGTGGTGGCAGGCACCTGTAGTCCCAGTTATTTGAGAGGCTGAGGCAGGAGAATCGCTTGAACCTGGGAAACAGAGGTTGCTGTGAGCCGAGATTGCACCACTGCTCTCTAGCCTGGGTGACAGAACAAGACTCTGTCTCAAAAAAAAAAAGAGAGACATAGGCAGATTATAGATGGCCTGGTTTGTCATATGAAGGAACTTGAGTTCTCATCTTTGGGCAATGGGAAGCCACTAAAGGGTTTTAAGTAAAAGAGTTATGTGGCAAGATTTTCCCCTCTGGTAGATCACTCAGATGACTGTGTGGGGATTGGATGTGAGGTGGTGAAGAAGCAAGGTTACTGCTTTAATTTAAGTCATTGATCAATCTATACAACCCTAGTCATTCTAAAAAGAAGAAGCGCTAGTCTTTTAACGAAAATAAATTGGGGCTGGGCGCAGTGGCCCACACCTGTAATCCCAGTACTTTGGGAGGCCAAGGCAGGTGGATCAGCTGCATTCAGGAGTTTGAGATCAGTCAGGCCAACATGGCAAAACCTCATATTAAAATACAAAAATTAGCTGGGCCTGGGGGCATGTGCCTGTAATCCCAGCTACTGGGGGGAGTAGGAGGCCTGAGGCAGGAGAATCGTTTGAACCTGGGAGGTGGAGGTTGCAGTGAGCCAAGATCGTGCTGCTGTACTCCAGCCTGGGCGACAGAGCGAGACTTCATCTCCAAAAAAAAAAGAAAAAGTGAATTGGAGCAGGTTCACAGAAGCAGTGTACTGTTATACTATATGTGTCTGTTTCTACACATATAAATCTAAATGCTATGCATGTGAAAACAAATCCTAGTTTTTTATTCCTAGCTATAAAAACTAAGAATATAATTTGTTCCTTTTTATTACATAATGAATGTTTCTGTTAACTTTTTATTACATTTCATTGAAGAGGGTATTAATTGATACCATTTATGTACAAATGTTTACATTTACAAATCAGTGTTTTTGCTGATTCATGCTTTTACTAAGATAAATGATTTCTGTATAACAGTATGGTTTAAAGAGTTTATCATTGAGGAAAATCAGATGACCTACCTGTTAGCTCCAAAAAAAAAAAACCCTCCAAGGAGGTATATTGTATCAGCCAGTTCTAGGATACAAAAGCTTTGCAGTACTCTGTGTTTTGTGCAAAAAGGGTAGCTGCTATTTGACCTGTCCCAAAGGCATGTGGTTGCACCATAAACCAAGCACGGTACGTGCTTGTCAAACCTTAGAAGTGAAAGTTTAAAAGAGTTAATATATATGTGCTGCATTTTTCATGTATTCATTGACTTGCTAGTACAGAAGAAAAGAATCAGTTATGGTTCAGCAAAATACTCCACATGGGGAAGAGAGTGCAGCAGTGGTGTAGAGTGAGAGGGATCAGACTGCTACTAGCTTCTTGGGCTTCAGTTGCTAGACTCACGAGACCCAGATCTTGGGAGCATTTTTTGTTGTTATTTGAAGTGGGAGTAGGATTGAAATAATCCCTTTTAATTAATATAAAAAATAGGTAATATAGACATATGTCACAAAATTTTAAAAAGTTTGAGTATGAAAAGCATCCATCCCATTCTATGTCCCAGCTACCCATTTCTCTTCCATAGAAGCAGCTGTTATTATCAATTTCTCTGGGTTCTTCTTAGAGGTAATCTTTTTGTATGCAGCTGTGCATGTGTGTGTTTAAACAGTAGGGTACTGTTTGTGCATACAGTTACTGAAGCATGCTTATTTGACTCTGCTTTATTGCCTCTGTTTTTTGCCTGACATATGTTAATGTGACCAAATATAGCATTTCCTAAACACTCCTTATAGTTTCGTTCTGTGCTATTTTAAATGCTGTTCTCCTTTCCTGAAATGTCCTTTCTTTTTGTCTTTACAAATTCTAGCCAGTTCATGGCCCACTTGCTCTGTAAAGCTTTTTCAATGATTTTTCTTTTGTACTATGCAGTCTTTTTTTTTTTTTTTTTTTTTTTTTTTTTTTTTTTTTTTTTTTTTTTTTTTTTTTTTTTTTTTTTTGATGGCGTTTTGCTCTTGTCGCCCAGCCTGGAGTGCAGTGGCACGATCTCCGCTCACTGAACCTCTGCCTCCAGGGTTCAGGCGATTCTCCTGCCTCAGCCTGGGAGTAGCTGGGATTACAGGCACCTGCCACCACGCCCAGCTAATTTTTTTATTTTTAGTAGAGATGAGGTATCACCATGTTGGCCAGGTTGGTCTCCTGACCTCAGGTGATCCGCCTGCCTCAACCTTCCAAAGTGCTGGGATTACAAGCGTGAGCCACCGTGCTTGGCACTATGCAGTTTTTAAAAAAATATATACAGTTTTATTATAAGTTGCCTATATTTAATAAATATCTAAATGGTAGAAACTGTGATTCATTTTTTAATCTTTATGGGGCCAGGAACTGTGGCTCGTGCCTATAATCCCTGTACTTTGGGAGGCTAAGTCAGGAGGATCGTGTAAGGGCAGGAGTTTGAGCCTAGCCTGTGCAACATATTGAGACCCTGTCTCTACAAAAAATAAATTAGCTGGGCATAGTGGTATGTGTATGTAGTGTCAAATACTCAGGAGGCTGAGGCAGGAGGATAACTTGAGCCCAAGGGGTTGAGGCCACAATGAGCCATGATGGCACCACTCTACTCCAGCTTGGGTGACAGAGCAAGACCAAGACCAACAGTAATCTCCATGGCACTCTCCCAACAGTGATTTGGACATACTAGATATTCAGTAAATATTTTCTGTTGATGATAGTGATATCTAACTGCCTCAGGTTACCAAACTGAATAAGGCATGATTAGAATATAGCCATTCACTTGTTAATTTCTGCTATCTTCATGACTGAGTTTTTACTAATTGTATTTTAAAAGATAATTTTATATAAATGCAAAAACTTTTTACCATGTAACAATCTGATAACACCTTGAGTAATTTTTCATTTCACATGCACATTTTATTTGTTCATTATCTTTTTTCTTTTTGCTTATTTTTTCTTTGTTTTTTACCCCCTCTGTGGCATAGAGAAGATGCAACCAGTTTTGCCATTTTCCAAGTCACAAACGGACGTCTATAATGACAATACTAACTTGGCATGCCGCAATGGACATCTCCAGTCAGGTGGGTTTAGGTTAACTAACATAAAATAATAAAGCTTGCATGCAAAGTAGAGTCTCACTTAACCTGATAATGTTGATTTGATTTTATAATGGTAGATTTAATTGTTCATGCTTTTGCAGGGCTATGTTGAAAATATAGTACCCCTTTCATTCATAGTATGTAAACATGCAACAAATCAGGTATAGTCATTCTAACATGCTTTATTTGCATGTTTTGTGACCTCTAATTTTTCAGATTAAAAATATGAAGGTGTACATTGCCATAAGTGATTAAAATATTCTTTTGTTTCTGTTGTGGCTTTTGTGCTTTTATATGGATAGCTTTACTAATTTTTTAATAGTGTTTTCTAAGACACATTTTAATTTTTTATTTATCAATTTTTATTGCATATCAGTTTTCATATATACTATATGTGAATGTTTTACTTGATAGAAGAAATCTGAAGCTTCACATAGTGAGGAGAAATACTGCAAGATTATTTACTATGGACTAACTCTGTCCTTGATAAATTTTGGATATCAACTTCTACAGAAGATTAAATGTCTTTCTGTTTTGTGTTCTTTGGGAGGCAGACACTCCATTTCTTAGGTTCTCTGACATCTGAGCTAGTTTTTTATTAAAACGTTTTGGGGTGACGTATGTAGCAAATCACCCTAGCATGTATATACCTATGTAACAAACCTGCACATTTTGCACATGTATCCCAGAACTTAAACTATAATAATAATAAAAACTTTTTTTTAATTGACAGATAATGTACATGTTCATGGGGTACACAGTGATGTTTTGATACATATAATATATAGTGATTAGATCAAGGTAATTATCACATCTATCATTCCAAACATTTATTATTATTTGTGTTGGAAACATTTAATACCTTCTTTCCAGCTATTTGAAATGATACACTGTTACCCATGGTCATCCTGCAGTCATATGGAACACTAGAACTTATTCTTCCTGTCTAGCTATTCTTTTACATCCATTAATAAATTCCATCCTATTCCTTCTTCCCTTTTGCCTACCCTTCTCAGCCTCTAGTATCCTCTGTTCTACTTTTTTTTTTTTTTTTTTTTTTTTTTTTAGATGGAGTGTCACTCTGTCACCCAGGCTGGACCACAGGCATCTGCCACCACACTTGGCCAATTTTTGTATTTTCAGTAGAGATGGGGTTTCACCATATTGGTCAGGCTGGTCTTGAACTCCTGACCTTGTAATCTGCCTGCCTCGGCCTCCCAAAGTGCTGGGATTACAGGCCTGACCTACTGCGCGCTGGGCTGTTCTACTTTTTATTTCTATGAGATTAACTTTTAAAAAATAATATTCTGTGTGTATATATACAACATTTTCTTTATTCATTCATCTGTTCTTGGACACCTAGGTTGATGCCGTATATTGGCTGTTGTGAATAGTGCTGCAGTAAACATGGGGTATAGATGTCTCTTCAATATAGTGGTTTTCTTTTCTTTGGATAAGTTCCCAATAGTGGGATTGCTGGGTCATATGGTAGTTCTATTTGTAGTTTTTTGAGGAACCTCTATACTCTTCTCCATAGTAGCTTTACTAGTTTAGATTCCTAAAAGTAGTGTATAAGAGTTCACTTTATCCACATCCTCACCAGCATTTGGTACTTTTTTTGTCTTTTTGATAATAGCCATTCTAACTGGGGTTGAGATACCTTATTGTGGTTTTGATTTGCATTTCCCTGATAATTAATGATATTGAGCATTTTTTCATATATTTGTTTGTGAGAGTCCAGCTAGGTTTATTGGTGATTTTTTTTTTAAGCAATAGCTTCATGTGCAGGGCTTAAATTATATTAAATATTACTTTGTTCAGATTATAGCAGAACAACCTTAGGTTAGGCTATAAAACAACTGTCTTTTTTATTCATATGTAATACAAAACTTGTAAGGTTTTACTAGAGAAGAGATAAAGTAAAAGGATTTCTATGGACAGAAGAAACAGTTGGTCATCAACTCTTTCCCTTGTGACTTCATGCTTCCCTTAAGGACTTCTCATGTTGGTTTGGTCTTACAGTATAGTTAGTGGCAATTTTCCTCTTCCCATTCCTTCCTATGTCCGATTTAAAATGCCATTTCAAGCATAGATATAAGTATTTTGCCTGTTTCTTCTAGCATGGCTGTGAAGACTGACATTTTCAGAAGGTACTTACTGGGGGAAAAAAAAAAAGAAATGTAAGAATGCATCACATATAAAGTTTCTAAAATATGTATTTGAGATCCTAACAATTCTACTAGGATAAATAGAAAAAATTCTCTAGCCCTGAAGAGTTGGTTTTGTCTTTCCTTTCCTTGTTATCTTGATTCTCTTCTACTTCATTTCACATGCTAGACCCCATCATGTTTTTCTGCTGTGTGCCCCATCCTGTCCTCCAAAGCAACATTCTCTTCCTGGGACCTCTTTGAAAAAAATTGAAATTTGTCTTATTTCATATCCCTAGTACAAGTTGAATATCCCTAATATGAAACCTGAAATCCGAAATGCTCCAAAATTCAAAACTTTTTTTTTTTTTTTTTTTTGAGATGGAACCTTCCTCTGTCACTCAGGCTGGGGTGCAGTGGTGCAATCTCAGCTCATTGCAACCTCCGAACCCCCCTGCCCCGCCCCGTGGGTTCAAGCGATTCTCCCACTTCAGCCTCCTGAGTATCTTGGACTACAGGCACCTGCCACCACACTCAATTAATTTTTTATATTTTTAGTAGAAAGTTTTACCATGTTGGTCAGGCTGGTCTCAAACTCCTGACCTCAAGTGATACACCCACCCTGGCCTCCCAAAGTGTTGTGATTACAGGCATGAACCACTGTGTCTGGCCAAAAATCCAAAACTTTTTGAGCACTCACATGATGCTCTAAGGAAATACTCATTGGAGTATTCTAGATTTTGGATTTTTGGGTTAAGGATGCTGAATCAATAAGTATAATGCAAACATTGCAAAATCCAAACAATTTTTAAAACCCTATACAGTTCTGGTCCCAAGCATTTCGGATAAGGGATATTCAACCCATAATCTGTTCTTTTCTGTTTTCCAGTTGGTAGGGCATATTGGCTTTATAGCTAATTTACACAGCATTGATGTTTGATACACAGTGAGTCCAAGTAGATCACTCAGACCTATTAATAGTTTATTAGTGTTGTTCACTTCTGGAACATTCTTGATGTAAAACCTTGGATGAGCTCTGTCACCTCTCTTAGGAAATAGTCATACCAAAGTCTACTTATTACTACAATGAATGTGTTTCTATTATACATTGTCCAATTTTCAAGTCAAAATTACTAGACAGGCAAAGAAAAAGTAAAGTATAACCCTTATTCACACACACACAAAAGCAATCAATAGATGCTATGAATGGGCCCAGATGTTGGATTTAGCAAAGACTTCAAAGCAGCTATTATTATATGTTTAAAGAATTGAAAGAAAATACGGCATCAACTATCAAACAGGAAATCTAAGCTGATGATATAAACTGGACAATAAAAATAATATTCTAAAGTTGAAAAGGGTAGTTACTGAAATTAAAAATTTACAGACAGCCTCAAGAGCAGATTAGACATAGCAAAAGAGAGATTCAATGACCTTGAACCCAGCTCCTTAGGAATTACTAAATTGATGATTCCTGTAGGATTAGAAACAGATGAAGAGTTTTCTGGGTCCAGGAGTGGTGAGGAAGATAGAGTACAAATGGACACAAGTAAACTTGTGGCTATGATGGAAACATTTTGTGTCTTGGTTTTAATGGCTATTTGACAGTTATACACATTTTTACAAACTCATCAAATTGTATGCTTTATTTATATATTTATTTTTTTGAGATAGGGTTTCACTGTCTCCAGGCTGGAGTACAGCGGAAATTAGCTGGGACTATAGGTAGGCGCCACCATGCCCAGCTAATTTTTGTATTTTTTGTAGAGACAGGGCTTCACCATGTTGGCCAAGCTGGTCTCAAACTCCTGGGCCTAAGCATTTCTCCCACCTCAGTCTCCCAAAGTGCTGGGATTATAGGTGTGAGCCACTGTGCCTGGCTGGTATAGCTTTTTTTTGAGATGAAGTTTCGCTCTGTTGCCCAAGCTGGAGTGCAGTGACACAATCTCAGCTCACTGCAACCTCCGTCTCCTGGGTTCAAGAAATTCTCCTGTGTGCCACCATGCCTGGCTAATTTTTGTATTTTTTAGTAGAGATGGAGTTTCACCATGTTGGCCAGGCTAGTCCGAACTCCTGACCTTGTGATCTGCCTGCCTTGGCCTCCCCAAAGTGCTGGGATTATAGGTGTGAGCCACCAAGCCTGGCCTTAAGTTATTATTGACTTAATAATAAGTCAATATTGACTCACCCTGTTGCCCTATCAATGATTAGGTCTTATTTATTCCAGAACCTTGTTTTAAGGTATCCTGAATATGGCTTTTTTTTTGTTTTTTTTTTAAGACGGGGTTTCACCATGTTGGTCAGGCTGGTCTTGAACTCCCGACCTCAGGTGATCCACCTGCCTTGGTCTCCAAAGTGCTTGGATTACAGGCATGAGCCACCATGCCCGGCCTTTGTTTTGTTTTTGAGAAGGAATCTCACTCTGTCATCCAGGCTGGAGTGCAATGGCGTGATCTTGGCTCACTGCAACCTCTGCCTCTCAGGTTCAAACAGTTCTTCTGCCCCAGCCTCCTGAGTAGCTGGGATTACAGGCGTGTGCCACCATGCCCAGCTAATTTTTTTCTTTTTAGTAGAGACAGAGTTTCACCGTGTTGGTCAGGCTGGTCTCAAACTCCTGACCTTGGGATCTGCCCACCTCAGCCTCACAAGGTGCTGGGATTACAGGCATGAGCCACCACACCTGGCCTAGTGTGGGTTTTTATTTTTAACTTGAATTTCATTTATACTTTCTGATTTTATAATGGTTAACTTGCAATAAAGGTAAACTGGTTCTCTAAATAAATAAGCTGATTTCCTATACTAGTTTAGTCTTTAGTTTTCTTAAACCGTATTAAGAGATTTGATTACAAAAGCAAACTTGAGGCTTTTGTCTTTTTTTTGGCCACTCTTACTTGCTTACTGATTTATTTAACATTTGTTTTCACAGAAAGCTTGTAAATAAACACTGATGTTGATGTGCAGCATACAAAAATATTTAGGAGCGGTGAGATTTAAACATTTAAAAACCTGGCCGGGCGCGGTGGCTCAAGCCTGTAATCCCAGCACTGTGGGAGGCCGAGGCGGGTGGATCACGAGGTCAAGAGATCGAGACCATCCTGGTC